GGCTGTCCAGCAGTTTCCCAACCAATCATGAATATATCAAACTATTAGAGCCAGGCCATTAGAGTCACACAGAGACTTTGCTATTGGACCTCTGACGCACATTGTGGATATCCAACTGATCTTGATGCTGCTCATGACCACACTCCTGTTAGTCAGTCCCCCGATAAATCACACCCTGTGCAATCCTACAGTCTGTCTTTCTTGGGTCTCATAACACCTTGGGATAAATCCTCATACACTAGGCCTGAGGTGTTTTGGAGGCCACACTTGCAATCCTCACTTCTTCCTTTCTTTTTAAGGCAAATGTAGGGTTCACATCAGTCCTATGGTTCTCTCTCTCTCCCTCACTCTATCCACCCCCCACCTCCTTCTCTTTTATGGGTCACAGGGCTTGATCTCTGGGCCTGGGCACTGTCCCTGAGCTCTTCAGCTCAAGGCTAGTACTCTATCACTTTGAGCCACAGCAATACTTTCCATTTTTCTGGTTGTTAATTGGAGATAAGGGTCTTAGGGACTTTCTTGCCCAGGCTGGCTTTGAACCACAACTCTCAGATTTCAGCCTTACACGCATGAGCCACCAGTGGCCGGCTATTTTTTTTTTCTTTTTAATGAATTCTTCATGGCAGTAAATGGAGTCAGTCATTAAAAATCAATTCAAGCTGTGACTTTCTAAGGAAGGGAGGTGATGTCATGTGGCCTTTATTTTCAGTATGAAATTAAATCTACATAAAGTTCTTCTGAAAAAAAAAACTGGAATGGAAATTTATAGACAAAGGCAGCAAACATGCCCAAACTCAAACTTTGCATTATTAATGACATCTGTAAAAAAAATAAAGTAATCTAGCCACGTGTCTACTTGCTAATAAGTGGCATTAGGGATGAACAGTGCTGAAAGTCTGGCTTGTTGTACAACAATGATGTCAATATTTACCTTGAAAAGGGCATTTGGTTAGATTTCTTCGTTTTACAGAATTATCATAACAGTCACAAGTGGTCGGGAGAGAGCAGCACTTTATAAATGATGTTTGCTTTCTAAGTGGCTTTTCCACAAATATTTACAGGGAGGGAGGAAGATTAATAGCAAGTCGTCCAGATTGTCATGCTGAGCTGAGATGCTAGATTAGATGCTCATTGTCCTACTTTTTACTCAACCATCATTTCTCTAAATTTTTGGGAGATATCAAGAAAAAGTCAGTGAAAAAATAATCACCTAATCCACAACTCTTATGTAAGTCCTGAACTTACAACCTTTTTTGGGTAATGAAATTGTTTAAAAAAATCTAGTGAAGGGGCTGGGAAGGTGGCTCAGTGGTAGAGCGCTTGCCTTGCAGGCCTGAGGCCCTGGGTTCGATTCCCCAGCACCACATAAGCAAAAAGAAAAAAAGCCGGAAGTGGTGCTGTGGCTCAAGTGGTAGAGCGCTAGCCTTGAGCTGAAGAGCTGAGGGACAGCGCCTAGGCCTAGAGTTCAGGCCTCACAACCAGACCCAAAAATAAATAAATAAAAATAATAAAAAAAATCTAGTGAAAACTATGATTATTTGTTATATATTAAGATCCTAGTAAATTAGATGTTTCTCATTGCTTTGTTAGCTTGTTTTATATGTTTAACTACTCTTTTAGGTATTTGTTATATAGTCTAGGCTGGCCTTGAATTTATAATTCTTCTGCATTGGCCTCCCTATTGCTGGGGTTATAAGTATACACCACAATTCTCACAATTCCCTTGTTATTTTTATTACATGATTTTATGCCAAATTTTATTATCTTTTAATGGCAGGCTATCCTCACTATTCTTTATTTTTTAATAATAGTTCAATAGAAAATGAATAAACTTTCAATAAATCCTTCCAGAAAATTCAATCATCTTCTCCTCTGGAAGAAAGTAATTAAAAGAGTCCCAGGGTTTTGGCAGTTATTTGTTCTTGGCCTACTTGGTTGAATTTACCTATGAAATCTTCTGAGTTTGGTTGGTTTGTTATTTTAAGTTTCCTCTTCTGTTTTGTTGTGAGATTTTCACTTGCTTTAATGGCTAATGTTTTGTTTTCAATTTCTGTTGTTAAATTAGTTTGGGCATTTTTTAAAAATCCCTCTAGGAGATCATGTGAGTCATTTCTAAAGTGGTTTTTGTTTTTGTCAGTTGTGGTGCTTGAACTCAGGGCCTGGCTGTTGTCCCTGAGCCTCTTTGTGCTCAAGGCTAGCCACAGCTCCACTTCTGGTTTTCTGGTTATCTGGAAATACATCTCACAGGTTTTCCTGCCCAGGCTGGCTTCAAACCATGATCTTTAGATCTCAGCCTGCTGAGTAGCTAGGATTACAGGCTTGAGTCACCAGCACCTAGCCCAATCTACGTTTTTCTATGTGCCTGGCAATACTGGTTCTAGGACCCTGCAAACCCGTCATGAACTTCAAGTTCTGACAATCCCAGCTGGAGGGATGTGGTTCTTCCTCCACTGACTGACCTCCATGTCATCTTTTCCCCTTTCCACACCTCCATGTCTGCTGCTGCTTCTCGGCAGGACCCCGCTGCCACTTCACCCACATCAACCAAGTTTTCTAGTGTTAGAATAATTTGTGGTTATCTCTGCAACAAATGATGTGTACTTCTTGCATTCTTAAAGTATCTTTATTTTTACTTAATTTGTAGTCTGCTGTTTGATCATCTTTCAACCTTTTGTCCAAATATAAGCAAATTATAGGTATAAGCATAACTTTATATGTCTTTTAACTTCCACTATGTTTCTTTGAGTCATGAGTTATTTCTGTTTTAAATTTTCTGAATGTATTAAGTATTTACAAATTGTTCTTTTTATTGATTTCTAACCTACTTGTATTATGGTTACATCAGTGTAATTAAGTTCTGTGATAGCTGATGAGATTTTTACTGTTCTAGTAGTGGTTTTTTAATAAATATTTCATGTGTCTAAAATATTCACATTTAAGAAGTAATGCATCATGAGTCTTGAGAAAAAGAGCTCAGGGATAGCATCCAGGCCCTGAGTTCAGGCCCCAGAATCCACACAGGAAAAATAAACAACTCACATTTAGGAGAACAGGATCTTACACATATCCATTGGATCAAACCCAGTTGCACTGTTCATTCCACCATATCCAAATCTTTTTGTGTGATAAAATCTCCTATTATGATGATGAAATTGTGAAATTTGCTTAAAGCAAGGATATATACACATATAGGCAAATGGGTATAAATAGATATTAGTATGTTATATATTTCATGCATATATGCATATGAATGTTAACAGCAGCAGAGTTTGTTGGCAGAAACCTGAAAATAACATTTTTAATTGTGCATTACTACTGCATAGGCTGAACTCATAGTGTAGAGCTGTATATAACCACCAAGTATCATGCCTTTGTTCTGTACCTACTAAACTAGAAGAAGTCCACATTAAGTGGAAAAGGCCAGTAGTACAGTAAGTGTATTGATATCCTATTTTTAGTAAATAAAACTCTCTTTCCTTATGAACCCATGTTAGTATGTTCAAGTTTGAGAAAAGACTGTTATCACCAATTTTGCAGGGAGGTGACTGGTGGAGCTGGGAAGGATAACCTGAAGAAATGTATTTATTCCACTCCCTACAATAGACACGTTTTTACTTTGAAAGCTTCAGGTAAAGAAAGTGAGGTCATCAGCCCTCACTCATCTTAGGGGAACTGCCAGGAAGATATATGCCAGGTAAAAACAAGCAGGATACCAGGGCAAAGAACTGTCTGGAAACATAACTCATATTCCTACATCTAAGTGGGAAGGTAAATCTGTACTGTTTGCATTCCTTTTACACACTCGTAAGTTGTGAGAGAATTACCTATTCCTTAAGTTAGAGGATTCAAGTTCAAAAAAGAAAAAAAAAAGAAGCGCCCAACCAACTACAGACTAGACCCTTCCACACGTTCTTATTTATAATTCTAGGCCATTCGTGGACCCTCAGATCGCCTAGGCTTATGATCCACTAGATACTAGAAGTTTAATGGCAGAAATAGTAGCTGACCCACCAGTGTCTCCCACATCTCCTTGGAGAGAGAATCCAGCAATCTTGGGATGGAAAGGTAGCAGGATTTTCATCTGTCACACTTCATCCTGGCTTGAGTAAGATGTCCTCAAGTGGGTCCTGTGGTTGTTTTTCTGCTCTGGGGACCCTTACCTGTGTGAGATGGGGGGGGGGGTAGGAACGGTGCCAGACTGGCTATCAGAGATCATCAAACACTAAGTCTCAAAAGGGAAGAAGAAGATGTGCGGACACACATTCAGTGCAGTCTTTTTCATCTTTGGTGGTGACAGGAAACGTTTCATAGTACGGATTCATCTGGAGGGGATCTGACTGGCAGAGCTGAGCTCCCACGAGATAGGAGACGTGGCTGGCAAGGCAGGCACTCCATTCTCCTGTGAGCTAGTTGGAACTTTATCCAAAAGGGCAAAGGGGAATCCTTCAGGGTGGAATGGTCTCTGCAGGATTCGCTCTGAAGATGATGAGAAAGAATTGGAGGAAAGCAGACTGGGAGTTGGCACCCTGCCTGGGAGGCTGTGGTGGCTAATTCAGCTCCAGGGAGAATAGCTCTTGGGCAGTGGTCACAGCAGGAGGAGTGGGAGTGAGCCCAGGGTTGGAGAGATGTATTCTACAATGGAGAATGACACTTGAACTGGGGGAGGATCCAGTGAGATCCCTAGTCTTCTGCCTTAGACAAGTGGAAACATGGTAGCTCTCCCACTGGGAAGTGTTGGAAGGAGTGTTGGGGATTTGGGAGGGAATGGAAAAAGTGGAGCCAATACACCTGTTATTTCTCTTTCCCTGACTCTGGGAGATTGACTGAAGGCCCAGGAACATTCATGCACGCATGCACATGTACACACACACACACACACACACACACACAAAACCATCCCTTGGGTCCCATGGACCTCTTCTCTTCCTCACCTTTTTATCTACACAGCCAGAAAAAGAGGGAGTCAAAGCAAATAAAATAATAACCAAACAAGATGCATATTCATAGTTGATATATATATATATATCTTTTTATTATGCACAAAGGACTTAAAACTGTGGTTATCAAACTATCCATCTAAGCATGTTCACAAAATTGCTGACACACTAAACAAAGAAAAAACAACAACAGGGGTGTTCAAACTGGCCACAGGAACTTACAGGGTCCTCTTTTTACCCTTATAGATAATGGAGAAGAAAATAAAAATCAGGCTCATTCAGGAAAAACCAAAAGAGAGAAGCATTGTATTTGGAAACTGATAATAGACCTTTTTAGAAAAACATCTGTCAGTTTTATGAACAACCCCCAGATCAAACAAACAGGAAAAACATTGCATTGACAACTCACCCAACAAAGCGTGTCTGTTAACACAACCAGCAGTACAGTCAACATTCAACCATGAGGTAGTTACAGTACAAAAACACGAGCCCGTGCACACATGTCCCTCCCCCCCCACGACACACACACACACTTCATCGGGCCCACTGAGAACACACACAGAAAATGGATTTTTACAATCTTCTTACCAGACAAGGAAAAAGACCATTTTGTGTTTAGGAAATGCTATGCCAACAGTTCAGACAAAAGAAATCTAAGTTAAAAAATGTATACAGAAAGACTAACAGCTGGCAAATGTCACATGGTGAAAAGTTATAGGATATCCTACAGATAATCTGCCTTGGAATTTGGAGCATTTCAACAACATGGTTAGCATCCACAAACAAAATCAAAATGGCCTCTGTGAACTATGGGCGAAACCTGCAGAAAGAACACGAAATGATGCAGATGGAACAGAGTTCAATGGAATATAACTACAGTTTTAAAGACACTTGAAGAACATGTTATAAAAGTAGAGCTTGTACTTGGTATTGAAACTGTGAAAGATGGCTGGGCATGGTGGCGTATGCTGTAACCCCAGCGCTGAGGAGGCTGTGGGAAGAGAATCTTGGGGGGAAAAAATAGAGAGAAGAAAAAAAATCCCAATAAACCTGTGAGGGATGAGTCAGAAATGCCTTAACAAGGAGCTAAGGGAAACACCTATTTTATTTTGACATTAATTTTTAAGAAACATTTCAAATACTTAACAGTATTCACTCTTCAATATGGGGCCGGGTTCATTACCATGAACTTCTTGATCTGATTAATTCTAACAAAGAGACCCAATGAGACTCCCCCTCTCTTTCTTTAAAAAAATCTTTTGGTTTGCATCTATATATTTGTAAATAAATTTAAACTTAAGAGTACTTATAAAATCATTGGCAATGTAGCATCTCTCTCAAAAAATATACATTTAAATATATTACAATTTTCTAAAGCCCTGTCCATACAGGAAATGGATCTTTTAATATCTCTTTCATATCATAGCTAAAAAAAACATTGTTTTTGACAAGATGGAAAGGGTCTTTTAAAAGGCAACGAACTGATCAAAAGAATTCACAGTAACTGAAATTAAGCATTTCATAAGGAGTAACTTAAATTTATCTAAAACACTTAAATATATCTTTATACACATTTTGTAGTAAAATATAGCTATATGTGATTTAAAGACTCTAGTCTTCTCTGAAGACATCTTTAAATTTTTTTTATACATAGAACATGCTAGAACAATACATTCTGCTGAAGGTTAGGCAAAGCGCGTTATTTTCAAACACAGGTAGCGTAATCTTAGGTCCTCCACTCTGATACCTTTAGGTTCAAAATAATGATAGTGAAAGGCAAACGTTTCTGGAGTCTCAGATCACTTTCATTCATCTATGGAAATCTGCACATATTCAAGGTACCAAGGTACCAAGCATGGCGATCACAGCTCTGATGTCATCTGCTTTGGTTAATTTATCCAATTGATGCCTACAGCTATCCAATCAACCAGACTATCACTCAAAGACTAGGGAGTGGTGGTGGGCCACCTCTACCCATCTTCTTGTTAGTTAGTGCCCTAAGGTGCTAGATTCCACCAACAGTTCCTACAGAGGATCAAGAACAACTGCTGTCCGCTAAGGGCAGTGGCATTCGCTTTAGTGTATATTTTAGGGTGGTATCTAGTTTGTTCTGTGTATGGAGTTTAAATCAGGGTGGGGTGGAGGTGCTGGAAAAAGACCACTATTTAATTTTCAGTGACATCATCTCCAGCAGTAAATATTTTGGCACTGCTAAATCTTCCCCTGCATTCTACTTGAACACAGAAGCAACGCTGAGCTTATTTTCCTTGCAAAGTGGTATCGTGTTATTTCATTTAATGAGATTCACCTCAAATCATTTTTTTTGTTTGGGCTATATTAAGGCAATCTAAATGAGTGCCATTCTTCCCAAATCAGCAGTATCTTGGCAGAATAGGCTATAATAGGCATGAGTCTCTTAAGAGCTTGGTTCTTACAAAAGGGCTTATTAGAAAGGTTAATGTGCTTTGAATGGCAACATTCTACTAAAGGCAACTGAAGAATAAGCTCCAAGTGTGGAAGCCTTGGGCGGCAGGTCTGTCTCAGATGTGGCAGATAACATATGCGTGTGCGTGGACACACTCTGACGTCACCTTGCAAATTCCTCAACTTTACAACCGAACTGTGCTCCGCTGTGTAGACATTAATTTATCAGAACACAATGTCAGAAATGGGTACAGATCTGTCGTTTCAGGTTTAGGCTATTTTCAATTTTTAGATACTATACTTGAAGAAAGATAAAACCTGATTAAGACATAGTTTTGATTTTGTTTAGAGTCATCAGTGGACAAGGGTAGGTGATAGGCACTTGTTTTGGTCCAAGGCACAAGAAAGGAATGTGGCCTGGATGCAGTCCCCCCCACACCCCAAGGTGACACCCAGGAATCCAGCAAACCTCCCAGAATACCCTTCCTTTTGGGGTATACAGACATATACTGTATACTGTGCATACAGACAAAGGTGCAGATTAGACAGCAAGGAGATCCCCGTAGGAAGCCTTGAACCATTGCATCATTCAACATCTTGGTTCAGATGGAAAAGCATCTTTGGCTTGACTAGCTATTATCCTTTTCCCATCTCCTTGAGTCGGGGATGGGAGAGGGGTGGAACTCAGGGCCCCAAATCAAGACTGTTCTCTCACCTGGACAAAGCAGCATTTAAAAACAAAGAACTGGCCTGTTTCACATCGAGAAACCATGCCCCCCCCCCCAGGCCTCCCGCAGCCTGGGAAGGGCTGGGGGAGAAGGCTACCATATTACCAGCTTTTGCACAAGAATTCTAGTGTGTGACTCAAGTCCAGGGGTCACATTTATGTTGGCGTTGGTGAGGGGTGACTATCACAAATGACCTTTACACCAAAATGCGCTGTCTTGACAAGGGAACCAAAAATAAAAACCAAGCCTTCTGGGTCTGGACCCCCGGCCTCAGCCCTGGGTCCCGCTTTGGGCAGTGACAAGCCCCCCCCGGCTGGCTAGGTGGTGCTGTTACTGGAGCAGGGCGTGCTCTGGGTGCTGCCGATGCTGTGGGCTGCACTGCTGTTCTCCGAGGCTGGTGGGGACGTGGGGACCTGCTGTCTGCCTGCTGTCTCTCCTGCAGGAAAGAAAGAAAGCACAGAAAGATGCTTGTTAGGATGTTTTTTTACTTTAATTTTTGTGTTGTTTTTGGGTGTGTTGCTTGGGGGGGGGGTCTTGAACTCAGGGCCAGGGAGCTGTTCTTTAAAGCTTTTATGTTCAAGGCTGCTGCTCTATCACTTGAGCCACTCCTCTACTTCTGGATTTTTTGGGTGGTTCATTGAAGATGAGTCTCAAGGACTTCCTTGCTCAAGTCGGCTTCAAATCATGATCCTCAGATCTCATTGTCTTGAGTAGCTAGGATTACAGGCGTGAGTCACCAGTGCCAGACGAAAGGTGTATGCTATAAAAGAATGATTCCCACAGCTGTGCCATTTTATCTGGTGTTTTTCCCAGCTAAAGGTAGAAGCCAGAAACCTAGTACCTAACTGCTTGGAAGTGCCTTGGCCATCAGTTGATCTGTTTGTTGCTTCAGCATCGGGAAGAAGAGGGTTTTCCATCTGGCCAAGACCCCCTGGCAGTTGATAACAAATGCCCTGGATTTCAGGCCCTACATACAGCCTTTGACAATACCACCAATCTCTGGATTATATGAACAATGTACTCCTTCTCTTACGAGGATGTCCTAGAGCTTAGGGGGTGAAATCTTCAAATATTTTGTGGATCCCTTTTCTTTTTGACTCTTGGGAAGAAGCCTAGGGCTCACCTATGCTAATCAAGGGGTATACCATTGAGGGAGACCCTAACTTTTAGGGGGGGCCTTGTTTAAAACTGTAATGGTAGCTGAGTATTGCTGTAACCCTAGCTACTCACAAGGCTGACATCTAAGGATCATGGTTTGAAGCCAGCCTAGGCAAACAAACAAACAAACACAAAAAACAGTCTTTGAGATACTTATTTCCAATTAACCACAGCAAAAAAAAAAAAAAAAAGCCAGAAGTAGTAGTGTGGCTCAAGTGGTAGAGTGCCAGCCTTGATCAGGAAAAGCCAAGCACGATCATTAGTCCCTGAGTTCAAAGCCTAGTATTGGCAAGTTCAGATTTTGCCCTGGCTAGAGCAGAGAGGGCTTTGTGGGTCAGCATACAACCTACCTGAGAAATAGGGGTGAGGAAGGGGTACTATGGGAGAAACTTGGGGGTGAGGAGAAGCTTAGCTGTTTGCAGGTAAGGACTCCAGCGGCCACCCCCTCCCTTCCACGTGGAGGCTGGCTGTTGACTGCAATGTAGCTTCGAACACACTCAACAGCCCATGTGTTGTTACACACCCCACTGCACTGCAGCAAAAGCCCACTCTGTATGCCAAGTGTGCAGTGCTGTGGAGGGGGGGCCTGGGGCTGCACACATGGTTTGCATTTAGCAGTCCAGGAGGCCCTGGAGTGGCTGGGCTCCGTGCAGCCCGCAAACAATGGCTCTAGGTAGGGAAAAGTGTTGGGAGTCCTCTGGGGGCAAAAACCACTGCCTTCTCTTTGAAAAGTCAGAGCGGACATTTCATAAACTTCTGTAAGTGGCCTCCCCATCCCCCTCCCCATGTGGGAAGCCCCAGAGGGCCAGATTTGTTTATGAATAAGTCTCCTCTTTCCTGTCACGCTGAAATACACATCTATCAGCTGCAGATAAGCAGCCCTCCCTTTCTGCTTCATTAAAACAAAACACACCAGGCACAGGAACTTGAGCCTCTGGACTTCCATTCCCCTTTCTGGGGCCCCCTCAAAAGTTTCTGCCAAAAAAGAGCCTGCTCTGCAGAATGTTAGCCCTGGCCCATGCCCTTGGGTCGGGTTACAGCTTTCCCTGACATCCATTTTAGGAACCCCAGCAGCACGCACCAACCCCACAGCACTTGCATGCACGTCCTTGGCCCTGCTGTTTCCTCTGATTATGTCCTCCTCTGGGATGGGTGGTGGGGAGGGGAGAGGGGAGGGGCTACATATTCCTGAGAAGCTGGATTAACTAGTTTTTAGTCTTCTACTGGGGAAATCTACATTTTGGATCTTCTCCATGGCCGTCCTGGCCTTCACATGCATATGTAATTAAGGTTGGGAGCCCTGCCTCAGTGGCAGTTAAATTCTTGCCAAGAATCCACTTTCCCCAGAGAAGGGGATCAAATCTCTCTCTCTCTCTCTCTCTCTCTCTCTCTCTCTCTCTCTCTCTCTCTGTCTCTGTCTCTGCAGTGCAAGGGATGGATCGCAGAACCTTGGGTGTGCTAGGTTGGCATTGTAACAATGAGCTATACGCTAACTGATAACATTTTGATGCACACACACACAGCAGAACAACCCTTGTAGCTCACACAGTGACCCACACTCAGCTGTAACTTCCTGTTACAATTACAAGGCCCGATGTGGCCATACATGAACACTCCAAAATCTCCTTTCCCATTTAAATAAAGGGCACATTAGGAAGGTGGGAGGAGAGCCACAGCTCTTCTGGCTCTGCTGGCTTTGCTCGCCCAGCCTCCCAGCAGTGGAGGCTGGGTGGCCTTCCCTCCCCAGGGACCGTGCACAAGGCTGTCTTCTCCAGAACGTGACCCATGGCCCATTATTCACATTCAGGAAAAGAGCCAACACCCTGCCCTACCCAGGAAGTCCCAATATTTGCTTTCCGATGTCTTGTTTGACAAGTAGAATTTGTTGCCACATTAGTTTATTCTAACCAGTGCCTAGGAAAAAGGGATCTTTCAGCTTGTAGAATTTTGGAACTTCTTGTCCTGGTAAGGTAAAAACAGTGCTCCAAGGAACCAAATAAAATGCTGAAGAGGCCCAATCTCAGGAGAGCATGATCTTTCACCCATGTGGCCGGGCATGTGACCAGATCACATTTACCTGTTCGTCGACTTCAATCCACGGGACAAGGAGACTCTGTTTGAAAAATCTGCTTGGAAATGTTGGAAGTCCCTTTTGTAGCCTACCTACCCTTCCCACTGCTGTGGCTCTTCTCACACATGTGAAGCACATGATTTCTCAATAAAACAACCTTTGAAGAACTTTTGGCTAAATTAAGTGTGTGTGTGTGTGTGTGTGTGTGTGTGTGTGTGTGTGTCTGCATGTGCGCGCTTGATCTCAGGGCCTGGGCTCTGTCCTATTGATGTTTTGCTCAAAGCTGGCATTCTACCACTTGAACACAGCTATACTTTTGCTGGTTAATTGGAGAAAAGAGTCTCACAGACTTTCCTGTGACCCTCACACCGCAGCCTTCTGAGTAGCTAGGATTACAGGTGTGAGCCACCAGCACTAGCACTCAGCTTTAAAAAAAAAAAATTAGCAGTGGTACTCTAGGAAGTCACCAGTGGAAGGAAGTTCAATGGGCTGAGTCTTCTCACAAAGCCGACAGATTTCCCTGGTATTGCTGAAATGGGGCCTTAGGCTTCTACTTTCCATCATAATGATGACAAATTGGCTTCTTAGAACACCAACTTTCTCTTAAATATCCTTTGGGTAACAAATACAACCAGGCAAAGGATACAGGCAGTTCAAGGAAGGCTCAATCGCTCACACATCAAACCTGGCTATCAGAGATGGTCTTCTTAGTTTGCTCCTAAAATCTCAAAATATACTGAGGGTTGGAGAGATTTGTTGGAGGAGTGAGGAGGGGAGAAAGGGGTTGGGGGCCTGGAGTACTCCAGAGGAGGAGAGTGTATAAAAGATGAGAATACCAAAGGTTATTTCCACCCATACTAGCCACTGGTGGACTAGACTGGCAGAGATGTTTTGAGAAATGAAACAAAATATTTCTTGGGGGAGAATCCATTTCCTTTCTTCCCTCCGTCCCTCCCTCCCTTCCTTGCTTCCTTCCTTTTCTTCCTTCCTTCCCTCTCTCCCTTTCTCTCTCTCTCTCTTGCTCTGTTTTCTTTCTTTAGCTGAGTGTTATGTTGTCCAGATCTTATTTTGTGTCACCTTTTGGGGGAGGTGGTCTTACTTTACAACTGGGTTCTTATCTCTAGGTCTTTCTTTTATCATGACAAGCTGCAGAGCAGAGATGAATTATGAAATTCAGGTGAAACATCACCAATTTTTGGAAAAGCTTAGAAGAGAGGAATCTAGGTTATTTAGCCCAAAGGAGTTTGTAAATGAAATATTACAAGATAGGAGTAGACAGTTGCTGTCTATCTCCCTGGAGGACAGAATATGAGGAAGTGAATTGAAATTACAGGGAAATGGATTTAGGTGAGATAGAAAGGACATATTATGAGGATGAATGTACAGAATTTCTTTGTTTCTTGGGCGATATTTAAACATAATATTGAAAATCATATGCCTGGGAATGATTGAGATTTAGTACTCCTTGATGTTTTTTTCTACTAGATCTGGAGACAATTTTATACCAATTTTATGCCAATTCACACTAGCTTTATGATATCCTACCAAGTTTATAGGCTTGTTGTTGGTTATTTAGTTTAGAGAGGTCTCCCAATACCTTTCTCATTTCCAAAATTTGTTTCTCCCCATTCTTCTAAACAAAGCACCAGTGGCTCATGCCTTTAATCCTAGCTATTCATGAGGCTGAGATCCAAGGATCATGGTTCTAAGCCAGCTCAGGGCAGAGAAGTCTGTGAGACTCTTTTCTCCAACTAACCCAAAATCTGGATGTGGAGGTTATGGCCCAGGTGTTAGAGCACCAGCCATGAATAAAAAAGCTAAGGGATAGCACCTGGGCCCTGAGTTCATGCCCAAATACTAGCATACAAAACAAAACAAGATTAAAAAAAAACACACAAAAATCCCAACCACTCCCTGCTCCACAGCGACATCTTGACAGTTCTCCCTCTTTTTATTTATTTATTTTTACAAAATCTACTATGTTGTTGCTTTCCCAGTAGTGCCCATATTTGGGTGTCTGCCTGAACTACTGTTTATTGCCAGTTTGCTTGGTTGTTCTCTTCCTTCTAACACATGTAAGCTCCAAGACAGCCCAGACTGTGTTGTTCACACCAAACTACTGGCACATAGAATAGCATTTGGCAAAAAGAGAGAAAGAGTGAATTTTGTCAAAGCACATTATAAGTGTATATAGATTTATCCTCATGAAACTCCTTTCACAAGTAAGACTCACTGAATAAGTGAGTGAAAGAGTGAATAAATGAGTGACTTACCATATACTAAACAAAGGCCAAAATAATCAAAGTACATTTTGTTGTTGTTGTTGCCAGTTCTGGGGCTTGAAATATGGGCCTGGGCACTGTCCCTGAGCTCCTTTTTGCTCAAGGTTAGCACTCTACCACTTGAGCCACAGCTCCACTTCTGGCTTTTTCTGGTGGTTAATTGGAGATAAGGAGTCTCCACAGCCTTTCCTGCCTGGGCTGGCTTCAAACTGTGATCCTCAGATCTTAGCCTCCTGAGTAGCTAGAATTATAGTGGTGAGCTACTGGCGCCAGGCCAAAATACATATTTAACCAGTAAGCTTGCTATTGTTAACGTGAAAGGAGGACCAAAGTAGTATAGCCATGTGCCCTTGAACATGGCACACAAAATAGAAAAAGAAGAGTAGACCTTTTAGGAAAGAGTTCTAGGCATGGAGTTTTCCAAACGCAATTGTTGCAGCCTCTAGGAGACACTGTTCACGGTGACCCTAATAGTTATATGACTCAGTAGGAACGCTACCATTTTGACTAACACATTTTCCAGGTAGGCCACAATTCACATCTGTGACTTGGATCTGTGCTGTGTGCTGCCAACAGAATTCAAAGTGTAAACGAAGGGAAAGTCAGCCAAATGAAGATCTGTGGGTTTGGTTTGGGTTTTTTTTTTTTTTTTTTGACACAGAAGCAGATGCCACCCAACCCCCCAAATATACTAAATGCAGTCTGAGTTCCACCCCCGAGTGCGCTGTGGAAATTAAGAGGACTGAGGGCGGGTGGAATGCTGAGCTCTCCTCCCCGGCCTCTGCGTTCGGACCTCCACATTCATCTAAGTTTCTTGCAGGCTTCCCCAAGGTCTAAATCTGAGGAAGTTCTGGATCCAAAGCTCTCATTGGCCCTCAAGCGGCCTCTTTATGCTTGTAGGACCCTGTAATTCCTTGTAATCCATTTGTACAATGAACCAGAGGTCCTTCTTTGAATAAAAAGTAATTTAGAAGCTGTATCATCATCACTGACAACCCCAGTGTCTACACACTTTTTCCTGGTATAACAGTACCACAGGAAGGGGTTCTGGTTTTTCCTCTGCATTTACAAACTTATCTCTGTATTAATAATACTTTAAAGTCCCCTCTGAACTTTGCAGTCCAGGGGAGAAGAGATTAATAACTTCCCAGTTCAATGAAGAACATGCCATCCACCCAAGCACCCATGCGTGCTTCGCCATAGACAAGAGCTTGAGGTCCTTAGGAGAATCGGTAGCATGTGCTCCCACACAGGACACCCGTGAGTTGCCCTCCATTCTGCCTGGGTCTGGCTTTCTGACCCAGGACGAGTTGTGTGGTTTGAGTATTGGCTGTATGACCAAGGCCAGTCAGGGGGGAACAGACACAAGGAAAATGTCTGTGGGTGATGAGCCCACAGAAAATCCTTAGGGCTCCACAGTCTTCCTGGAGTACTTTGGAGACCACATAGGCTGCCAACAGCCCTAGCACCCCTTCTCTGCAGGAGGTAGGAAAATGTTGCAAAGGCCTGTTAAAACATCTGAATAGTGAGTATTCCTGAGACAAAATGCTATTCTGCTAAAAGCTTTCTCTGGTTCTTTTGTAGAAACTGTTTTTGATGATGACTCCTAAACTGACTCATAGGCATTTATATACCACTCCAAGTCAGCATGCTTAACGGCCTTACTTTCTGTCTCACACATGAAATGGACTTCACTCAAAGCTTGCTAGTTAGGAACCATTATTTGAAAACTGCAAAGCCCTACTATGAAACTCTCCTAAACTTTTGCCAAGAGGCTAGCTTTAGATTTGGGCACATTTCAGATGCTACACACAAAATGGTTGCTGCTTCTCTTTCTGCTCTAATTAAAATGTGTTAGTCAGAGGGTGTGGCAATCAAAGGAAAAAAACCATGGCTCATGCTTGTAATCTGAGCTACTCTGAAGGCTGCAACCTAGGATCATGGTTGGAAGCAAACTCCGGGTAGGAAAGTCTGTGACACTTTTATCTCTAATTAACCACCAAAAAAGCACAGAAGTGGAAGTGTGGTTCAGGTTCACTCAGGCCTTGAGTGAAAAAGCTATGGGACAGCACCCAGGCCCTGAGTTCAAGCCCCAACACCAGCACAAAAAATAAAATAATGAAATTTTAACAGAGTATCTTTTCCCTCAGAATTTTGAGGTTTGTGTCTAGCAATCAAGAGAAATAAGATATAATGTCTTCATATGACTTATAAATGGGTTATCTTCCTAGCTGGTCTAATTGACAGTGTAACCAGCATTCAATGGTTCACTGGAGAATGAAGAAAGTTCTAGCTTGCCTCTGGCTGACCAGTCTCTTACAGATTAGCCAGGTTCACCAGACTCTAGACATGCCTCAAAATGCCTTCCATTTCTTCTCCATATTTGCAGGGGACCAGGAAAGAAGCAGGAGAGAAGGCAGTGCCTTTGTATTCTCCGGAACAAGAGGCAGCTGCATTCTCTACAGGTGTGGGAACCAACAGGGTCTCTGTTCACGCACCGTATTTCTCTATCTTGGGACTGGTGTGTGGGAAGTGGATCAGAATTTGGGGGGCTCATTTCACCACTTTTATTCCTTTTCCATTCATGCAAATATATTTGAAAATTCTTGTAACTTTAGAAAGACACGAAATTTTTGTGTTTATCAAAGAAGACGTGGCATGGGACAGAAAAAGGTGAAGTCTTAGGTTTCAGCATTTATTAGACTCTGGGGGCAGTACTCCACACACTGTCAAATAGGGTAATAAACTCCTAATTTCCTTTGTCATTTCCTGCACATTTATAGGTCTATTCTAAAGTCTTAAATTTTGGAGCAATGGTTTATATTTCTAGTTTGACTATATTAACTCCCTTCCCTCCTTCCTTCCTTCCTTCATTCCTTCCTTCCTTCCTTCCTTCCTTCCTTCCTTCCTTCCTTCCTCCTTCTTTCCTCCCCCACCCTCCTGCCAGTACTAGGGTTTTAATTCAAGGTCTGGGCATTATTCCTCAGCTTTTTTCACTCAAGGCTGTTGCTCTACCACTTGTGCCTTTTAGTAGTTAATTGGAGATAAGCGTCTCATGGACTTTCCTGCCCAGGCTGTCTTGGGAGCCACAATCCTCAGATCTCGGCCTCCTAAGTAGCTAGGATTACAAAAAGCATTACACCTCCTATATGCATCTTATATTAACTTTCTTTAAATTCTAACAACAAAAAGAGAAGACCACAACATCACAATTGCAATGAACAGACTAAGCATTCCTTTTCTACCACCACTTAAACCACTTTCCATGTTTTTACAAAACCCAATTCTTGCCAAACACATAAATGTGAGATGCAGTGGGAATGAATGACTTTCTCTTCCCCTCACTCATCCATCGAAACACCATCTGTCTGTGTGGCAGGCGTGCAGATTGCGGCCCTGCCAGCGGCAGGGAGCAGGCACACTAACCTGTGTGGGAATAGATGTACCACAGGGCGCCTGTCAGGAGTGCTCCGATCACGAACGCTGCAAAGGCAATCCCCATCACGGTCAGGGTGTCCAGCCCATGGAAAACGGCTGTAAATGAGGGAATCCAATATACTCAAGATTAGTCCACATCTCACATGGCGATGTTCCATTTGTTTAGCAAACACTGTCATGAAGGCTGAGCACTGACTCATAAAACCCCAGAATGTAGTAAGACTTGTAGGAAAATATCCCATATTTTGTTACTTGCAATTGTTTTTTTTTTTGGGGGGGGCGAATCAAAGTAAAAATGAAATGATCAAGTTTCTAAATATCAAAATAAAAATGAAATGATCAAGTTTCTAAATTATAGTTCATTTAAAAAAAAGCTCATTTTAAAAATTAAGATTTGTAAATGCGGTAAAATCTTAGTGTCCCAGTCTGAGGACATAGGATTTGAATGATGACTTGAAAATTCACAAATCAATATGCTTTGGTGAATTTCCCTTATTAAAATCAAACTTAATTACTCTTTTGTTTCTTTTTGCTGGTACTAGGACTTGAATTCAGGGCCTGGGTGCTTTTTATCGTTCTTGCTTTTTGTTTAAGGCTGGTGCTCTACCACTAGACCCACAACTCCACTTCTGGGTTGTTTTTTTTAACTGGTGAATGGAGATACAAGTTTCTGGATTTGTTTGTCTGGGGTGTCTTTGAATTGTGATCCTCAGATCTCAGCCTCATGAGTAGCTAGGATTACAAACATAAACCACCAAGCCTAGCTCTCAAACTCATTATTTCTTATTCATTGAGCATGTCCAACAATGAAACAATGAAAACACACTCTCAGAATACATTGTAATATCTTCCTGAACATTTGTAAGTATGAAAGATAAAAGGAAGAAAGGAGTGAGAAGAAGCAAACAGAATAAGAACAAAGGCATCTTGTGGATCATAATATTTCATAGATCTCCTAATTAAACACTCAAATTTAACTATGTTTCTCTCAGGTCATTTAATACAGCCAACATTTCTTCACTTTATAGCCTTGATCTTTATGAAGGGAACAGAACTACTTCTCCATGAGGAGTGATGTCAGTTTCATCGTCAGCAAAACATATAAATAGAACGAATTGTTTCTCCATTTGGCAAAGATTTGTGTATTTGAAATTAACTCCAGGCCACAGAAATAGGATATTTCCTTTCATTTAAGAGAACTATCTTCTTTGAGTCACTTAAAAAATGTCAAAATCTGTTTCCAAGGGAGAGAGGATTTGGATATATTCTTATTTGAAGGTCTTCTGGTTTATGTGTGTGTGTGTGGGGGGGGATTTCTTTGTTTTATTTTTAACAAATTGGAGATATAAGATCTTCCCCTGCCATTTCAATACAGTTTCTACTTTTCTACTCCACTCAGAAGCAACTCCAGCTGACTTCTATATAAATTAAATTTGTCTTTCAACTCACTTTAGTGTGAAAGATTCAGTTGTAGACAATCTCTCTAGCATTCCACAGGGTTTGGGATAAGTATGTGAAGCACAGAAGGGTCTGGAAGGATCGGAACTCCCAAGTCTGATTCCCTACTCTTCTATCTAGCCCTATGCCTCTGGGGATGTTCATTTAAATTTTTAAAAACTGAAGATTTTTTCACTGAAGGCAGGAGTTTGTGCACTTCTAAAAAGAATTTCCAAAAATTAGGAAAGGCTCCGGGGGTGTGTGTGTAGAAGGGGTAATGCCCAACCAACCCATCCAGTACTTAGCTTAATCCATAGCATACCTATTAGAGAATGATTTATATTCTTTATGCCTTCAGAGGAAATGAGGAACTATGATTACAAATTTTTAGCAAGAACATTCTAAAATTCCAAAGACAGGGACAGCATTTATGAAAATCAGATTAAGTAAGTAAGGGAGAATATATCTGCCCTGATTCTTTTGAAACTCATCTGCTTGGAGAAACTTGGATCTGCCATGATCCATTTGGGTATTATGACATCATCTGAGGGCCACACACAATTATCCATACAAGCCATGGGCACACACAAGAAGCAAACAAGAAGCCCATGAGTCTTCCCAGTCATGAACTGAATGATTTCATGGGACTTACACAGCTATCCCCCCGATTAGGGGAATGGTTTAGGAGCTTTCATACAGACAGTGTGAACACTGACTGTTCCATAGATGTGACAAGCTCAGGCCTGGATCCCAATCCTGAGATTCTCGGGGTGGGGGGGAAGGGGTAAAGGAAGGGGGGTCTGGCAGACACCTGCCTCTTTTTTGTTTGCTTGTTTTAGGGACTTGAACTCAAAACCTGCTGCTTTTGCTTACCGACTAGCACTCTACCAACCGAGCTAGGCCTCTAACTCTCCTAGACTCCTGTTCTCAATGCCAATGTGAACCATAGGTAACTTGCTGAACTATTTCCTGTTCACATTGTCTTCGGTACAAAATGAGGAGCTTGACCTTCGTAATTTCTAGCTTCTCATTTTGCAGTCATTTGGTGCTGTCCTGAATCATTTTCCTACCTGGACCCCTCCCTGGTTCCCTAGCCCTTCAATTAGAGATTGTCTTAAACACATGGCCACAAGTTCCATCAGCATTTCCCTGGGCAAGGAAATATTATTGGTAACCCCTGGAATAAAGCAGGCACACAGATGCAAGGGGAGACTTGCAGATCTCTCTAAAGCCTCTGTAGGTCACAACCCGTGCCAATAGGCCAACAAATGCATAGTAGAAACAAAAAGAAAGAGGAAGGTGAAGATGAAGGAAGGGCAGAAGAAAAGAAGAAATCATGGTGGGGGGAGAAAAAGAGAAGAAGGAATGAGAATTCTTATCAAAACTCAAAGTTTGGCAAACCTCCACTTGCCAACTCATTCTTATAAAAAAAAAAACAAAAAACAACCAGAAGGCTTTATTTTGAAATAGTTGCATAAAGACTTACGTGGAGGAAATGGACTGGGTTCCTTCATGTTCGGAACATTTTCTGAAACAAAAGCATAAGTCATCATGAAATAAAAAGAAAAAAAAGAACACCCAAGATTGAAGCAAGGGGTCATCAAAATCTCAGCAGAAGCCAACATTTTCCTATAAATAAATCCTCTGTGAATGCGCTGGTGACAACTCTCTTTCCATAGCAAAACTGTAACCTGGGTTACTCCAAAATTTTAAGCACTGAACTTGCATTATTAATTATAGAAGTTGCCCAGTTTGAAGGCAAATATATCAACTTAGGGAAATGGTGCCTGAATATACTTACATGTGTGTAGGAGTACACCTTTATGTTTAGTTACAAAAGCAATCAGTATCTTTAAACATCATTCTTCTCCAGTGGAGTCACACTATTACCCTAATTTTAAGATATTCTTTCGTGTGAGTGGTGCGCATGTGTGTACACACATGTGCACCAGTTTTGTGGCTTGAATTCAGGGCCTGGATACTGTCCTTGAGCTTTTTTTGTTCAGGGCTAGCACACTACCACTTGAGCCACAGCTCTCCTTCGGGTGAATCTCACAAACTTTCCTGCCTGGGCTGGCTTCTAACCATAATCCTCAGATCTTTGCCTCCTGAGTAGCTAGGATTATAGGCGTGAGCCACTGGTGCCGGCAATATATTCTTTTAAGGACTTATATATTTTGTATCTTTATTAGTATCACACTGCTGTCCTCTATTCAGTCCTCTGGATAACCAGTCTTCTCTAAACCTCTTCCTTGTCACCAACAAATGCTTCCTCCTCTACACCTGTCCCAACAGTGTTTCCACCTGGATTAATCTCCTTAATGACTTCCCTGAATATGGGGGGGGGGGAATCTCAACTGTTCAGCATGAAAGTTTCCCCTCCCACTTCTTCTCATGGCTTCCTACACCCATGCTGAGCAACTCACATCTCTTTACACACAATATTCTCCACATTCCCCATGCTACCCTCTGGCATCACACTTGGCAGGTGATCCCTGAAATGGGTAGCAGCTGTGAACCTCTTCCCTGAGGGGCCCCAGCTCCATCTCTCTCCTCCCTGAAAGCAAGGCTGCCACTCCCACCATTGCACACAGCATCCCTCTTGTGTCACTTTGATGCCAAATCACATTCTAACTTGCTGGAGGAGAAAGAGGGCTCCAGACTTTTTTCTTCTCTGCTTTGAGGGCAGTTCTAGTTCTGACTCATTTGTGCATCCTCAGGGCTCAGAGGAGCGGAGAACTGCCCTTTGAGAAGGGTGTAGTGAAAGCTGATTAACATGCTGATGTACTTTTTTGAAAATGGAGGAAATGAGGAATAAGAATATTAAAGTATGTCTAGGTTCCAATATTTCTAGATGCTTCACAAAGTGTCACCTGGCCAAGAGTTCAGTGGAGATTCACCCCAGTCCTGTGAGAGAGGCAGAAAAATCATTTTTTTCACTATTTTACCAGATGCCATTCAATGGATGAATGGATCAAGAAAGTGTGACACACATATATATACACACACATACATGTGTATGTAATATGTAACAAATATTTGTGCATATACAATAAATCTGTGTACATATATGTATATCTACACACCGATATATAAAATGGAATTTTACTCATCTACCAGGAAGAATGCTATTATGTCATTTGCAGAGAAATGGAGGGACTTGAAAAAAAAAAGTTACATTAAGTGAAATGAGTCAGACCCAGAGAGACAAAGAACACATTCCTCTTCTATGTGGAAGTTAGATTTAATTTGTAAATATATAGGTAAACTCGCACAGGGTCATGTGCATACATACATGAACATATTGACCAAAGTATGGCATATGCAGGTGAGAATACTCCTTCAAACAACTAACTTATAGTCTAATAAGATAAATGTTAGGAAGCTAGAACTTGAAGTGTGGGGAGGGGAAGGAGGAAGACAAAGGGAGGGAGTAGACAAATCGAGGAAGGGTGGCTGAACGCAGTCATAATGGTCAATGTGAGAACAGAACTAGGGAAATTGAGGGGATGAGCGGGTTTAAGAGATGGGGGAGGATGATGGATGGGGTAACATTGATAAGATGCACTGTACTCACAAACTGACATATTGAATTGAAACCTTGTACAACAACTTTGATGTGTGTTTGGTGCCTCTCTTTCTGGCTCCATTTTCATTCAATAAAAAAGAAACACATACCTTGCATTTGAATCCACAGTGGAGCAAACAGAACTCATGAAAATTTGACTAAAATAAGCAGTAAGTGATTTGATTTTTATTTTTTTTTAAAAAAGTTAACATGGTGAGAAAAGATAGAAGCTCAATTTCTCAGGATGACCATCTCAGCTGATGGAATTTCTGCAGCATGAGTTATCAGTGGTCTAGCTCTAGGGGGAGAAACGCTACTGGGCCATTACAACTGAATGGTGGCCCTGGAGCTGTGGTGGCACTGGGGTGGGGACACGTACAAAAGTTATACTTCAATAAAACTACTAAGAAAATAAAATTGACTTTGAATTTGGAATAACAAAAATCTAGCCAGGTGCTGGTAGGTCATGCCTGTAATCCTGGCTATTTAGGAGAATGACATCTGAAGATAGTGGTTCAAAGCCAGCGAGGGCAGGAAAGCCCATGAGACTTTTATCTCCAATTAACCACCAAAAAGCCAAAAGTAGAGCTGTGGCTCAAGTGGTAGACCACTAGTCTTGAGCAAAAAAATCTTAGGGATAGCACCTGGGCCCTGAGTTCAAGCCCCAGGACCAACACAAAGAGAAAGAGAAAGAGAAAAAAAAAGAGAAAGAGAGAGCAAAAGAGAGAAAAGGAAAGAAGGAAAGATCTAATTCAATATACATAGCACACTCTTAGTACACAAGCTACAAAATAGACTCTTCTGAAAGCCTATCTCTCAGCCAATAAGTGGCTTAATAATCATGGTAGTAACATCTCGTATTTGTATATTAGTGTTGTGTTTAACAATTGACAAAAGTGTTCATTTACATTATCTCTTCTTTAACCCTCAGAGACAACACAAAGTAGGAGTATCTAACCACAAACCTCGCCTACTTGCAAGAAGTAAGAGTTTATGCGCTGAACTAAGTCCAAAGGCATTTAAAGGCCTCAATGGCCTACATCATGTAAGAAGTACACGCACGTTTCTGGGAAGAATTCCATCCAGTTCACCGCCTGTGGTGAAACCCTGCCACGCAGAATCCCCAAGTGGGTTAAGAATAATGATTCTCCCGAAGAAGACCTCACATATAAGAATTTATGGTTTACAACAAGGCCAGAGTAACGGATGGCATTGTTTTAAAACTCTTAATGGGTTTATGTTGTGATCTAATCTTCTCTCTTCCCCCACCCCAAATAGGGCCTTGTCAGAGAGTTCAACGGAAACCCCTGCTGCTCCTTTCTCCTGCGTGAAGTTCCTTCAAGATTGTGCATCAAAAATAACAAGAGGGTGCAGAATTGAGGACCACAATGTTATCCTCAAACATTTTGTTCCTCTATTCCCCCCGCCATAACCCCCAAGGAGAATGAAAATAGTTTCATCTCCACCAGAAACCTATAATCGAGCTGGCATGCTGCAAGGAAACGAGTGGATGTAACAATATTTACTTTGGGATTGAGGTTCAGACTGTAAGAAAGGAATCCTAGACATGGCTGGAGCAACCATTTTAACAATCGATTTCTCTGCAGAAAGAATAAACTATAATCAACATTCTGAATCAAGATCTTTTCACATACTCTGAGCAAATTTTGGTTTACCTCTAGAACCAGATTTCCCTCCTCGGATGGGAGGTATGGTTTTCATGTGCCGGACATTTCTGGAGCTATGCATGAGTAACTAACCACAGCTTTTGACCCACTGGTTTTTAATTCCGTTCTTCTGAACATCATTGGTCTACAGCAGGCCCCAGGGAAACAAGGCGTCAAACTGGTACGCACATCTATTGACATGTGGCAAAGAGGGAGGGACAGGGTAAGGGTGTCTCCTCTTGGAGATGCTTTGGTCAGGCTTTGTGCAGACCCTATTCAGGATGCTTCACTGTTTCTGAATTTCTTCCCTGGGTTCATTCAATATTTATAGCATGTATTGCAGTGGGCTGTTCACTTGTTCACATCCTGCCATCGGATACAGCTTCTCACCAAGGGAGGTGATTTTTAGAAACCTGGAAATGTCTACAGACATAATGGGTTGTATAACAACAGGTAGGTTGCTCTTGGCACCTAGTACATAGAGACCAAGAACAGCTCCTCATTCTACAATGCCTGAGATAGCCCTTCACCCCAGAGGCACCCAACCCAAAATGTCCTCATTGTTGAGATTGAAAAGCACTGCAGTAGAATGTGAAGGCCTAAAAGGCAGGGATCATCTGTCAGCTCCATGTCTAGTGGGGGCTCAGTAAACATTGTTTTTAAATAAAGAACCATAAATATCACCAATCTCGCACGTATCTAATTCCTGGTACTGGCCACTGAAACCCAAGCCAGTCTTCGCACGGCTTTCAGAGCAGTCACCATAAAGCATAGAAACACTGATTCCTACCCAATATCTTCTGATGCGCTTAACCTTCAGAAAGGCAGAGGGGAGTCTCATGGATGAAGTCCGTGTCTGGACTTCTTGCCAAAGGACCCAGTAGGCAAACAGGAAGTGATGGGACAAGAGTCAATGTCACCATGAACACTAGTTGGTGAAAGCAGATGGAGGGGGTCATGGGGTTTCATTCTATCTCTGTATACATTTGAAATTTCCCCCAAATAAAAGGTGGGGTTTTTTATTCCTTTAAATGAAAAGCATTTAGAACTATAAAAATCCCTAGAGTGACCCCACTCTTTATTAGATTGGAAACTAGATACCTTACTCTGTCAGTTAGGCATCTCTCCCATCTTTCTACTATTTCTCTTCTTCTCTACCTTAGCCTGAGGACAAAACTGGCTGATTCTTTATTTCTGTTCTGGGAAAAAAAAAATCAAAAGTGTTCCAAAAAGTAGTGTACCTCCCTTGGATTAATTTCCAATTGACATTCGCAACTTTCCCTCCCATTTCCC